TCTATATTGCTGCCAGAAAACTACATGGTGGTTCTCATGAAATCACCAGAGCTGAGCTTGAGTGGAGGATAACACTATCCTTACAAAAGAAATTGATGATCCATGTTGCATGTTTTCATAACAGAGCTCAAAAAATTAAGATAATTACATTTAGAAAACGGAGACCTTATATTTTAATTTCTGATTGATATAGTTATTGAAGGAGACTTTTTTAAAGATTGCATTTGATAAATATCACAGCCCTTATAGCGTGCTCCATGTGTACATTCCTTTCTCCATTGCATAGAAGAGATAAGCTTTTCTAGGATGGTGCCTGTTGCAAAACGTATATGTATCAGTAGGTTTCTTTGGCAAAAATTGTTCTTATATAGATTTAAGCTATTTAAAACTTGCAACAACTCATCTAACATTTCTTTAATAAAGGTGACAGAAGTAATTTCACAACTTCAGGGTTTGAATGTAAAAGCTGTCACCTGCAGACTTTGAAGAGTTTCTGGCTAAGAGACAGCTAAGAGACTGAAAATGTCTCCAGTGTTATCTTGCCACTGCCATAAATTTACTAAGCCTAAGGCACACCTCTATATCTTGTCTTAGCTGTCCCATGTGCAATAGGGGGTAATGCTGTTGTTGCTGAGATTGTATGAGCAAAGCTCTTTGAACACTTTAATATGTTGTATAAATGTTCATGCTATAGAATGTCAGGCATCGTGAAAGGAGTGTCTTTTTTAATAGGCATAAGACGCTTGTGGCCCTGAGGCTCTGAGATTCTTTAAATGAATACTATATAGAGGTGGGTATACCATTCTGGAGCTTCAACCCTAGCAAACCTGGCCTGTGGGTATTTCAACTTTTTCTCGTCCTTCTTGTTTTCCTGGCTGATAAAACCGTGCAAGGCCAACACAGACCTCCTCTCAAAATGAGCGTTCTCCAAAGCCAGCGACACCTCCTCAGCACCCAACGTTCAAAAAGGCATTGCCCTAAAACATTGTCATTTCAGATTTACAGAGAGTTAAGATTAATTTTAGTACTGCTATCTGAAATTTGCTACATTAAAATCATGAAAAAGAGAAAGTACTTCTTTATCTAGCATGCTGATTCTTTTCATCTATTGTACATTAGTGCTTGTGAGTGTGAAAACTTGTGTCCTTGTGGTACACTGCAGTATTAAAGAGAGTTGTTGAATACAGCCTTAGTTCAAATTCTAAAAGAAATAGGCTATAGTTTTATTTCCTTTAGTGGTGACAGTGTATCTGTTAACCTAACAGTACTTCTTAGAATATATTGTGCTTCTCCTGTTTCTCCTCTATAGTTTGTGGCCATGGAAGAGCTCCTGGTTGTATATATCACATATTTTGCCAGAATTTTCAAAACTAGGGTTTTATTTCAGTTTTCTGTGGGGAAAAAAATTGGTCATAAGCTCCTAAAATTTAATTTAAGCTTAATTAGATTAAGGTATCTCATATAATAGTTTACATATTTTAATCGGCAAAACCTAACTGATTTCTGCAATATTGTAGTCCTGATCCACAAAGAAATTTATATAAAGTCATCAGGGCATCCAAGGGAAAAAAATGATTAGTGGAATCATAATAGCATTGTGTAATCTCTAGAAAAGGCATGCAGTGAAAATAGGTAAAATAATAATAAAGAGCCAGCAATACTAATGCCACAGACTCACAGAGGTAAATGTCTTGTATAAGGAATTTTGTTAAATCTACCCTCTAAAATATTGCTAGTGTAAACATTGTGTGATATTTAGAAATAGAGAACAAATTGAGGTACCACAGAGGTGTAGAGTGGTGGAGTTGATTTCCTATAATTATAGTGGATGAAATTGTGCTTATTTCATTCTGATGTTTCATATCTAAAACCCTTTGCTTAAGAACGTGATTGTGCTTGTTCATATCCCAAGGGAAATAATCTCTTCAGGAATACTGGATATAAGCATAATCTTTTGTCTGTGGTCCTCTTCCAGTTAGATTGAAATTTGTTGACTGAAGTAAGGAGAGTAAGTTCCTTGGGGCTAAAATGAACTTCACACAAAAGTTAGAAGTGGTAATCCTTCCCAGAATTCCATCTGAGAAAGGCCAAATTCCATTTGAAGGGCAACATTGAGGTACATATTAGATCATCTGGAATGCATCCCTCAAAAACATAGAAGCCAAAAGTTGCAATAAGTGAGGAACACCTTGTAGTGGCAACACGGAAGACCATTGTTATTTCAAGGAGCTTAGGTGACCTATTTTGATTTCTCCTGCACAATGTTAAAAAAACATTCACTCTGAGTCATAATAATGTTTAGTTGGCTTGTTTTTCACTTTTACTTAGAAGTGGTAGGGGGAGGGAGACCTTCAGGATTGTTTAGGTTAAACACTGTCTTATCTGTATAGTTCTCAGATCCTGAGAACTATCTGGTCAAGGTCACTCCCGCAACCTCGATGCCATGGAAACAGAGTCATGGGATTGCAGTGCCAGACTTTGATAAAAGCCCTGGCATTGCCCCTTGAGTCTTGGAGCCTGGACACAGGCCTTGGTACCAGGAGCTGTGTTATCTAAGCCATCTTGGGGTGTCTCCGCTGTCGCCTTATGGTAGCTCCCAACAGTAGGGGAAGAGTTTTTATCATCTTGCTTGGTATGTTATGCTTTTATACACTATGCTTCTGTATTTCTGTTTTATTCTATCTGCTAATTTGGTATCTTATATTTTTGTATTCCTGTTTAAATCTGTTTGCTGGAGTTAACAGTATAGCTTAAAATCTCCTCATCTGCTGGTGTGTTCATTGTCTCTGGATCTAAAAGGACTAAAAGAACCAATTGCCTGGGCACCTTTGTGTGATATTATTTATAGTTGCAAGGATATAAATTGAATAAAAAATAGTTAATAGTTGGCATGTTCACATATATATGTGTATGTATATGTGTATAAAACTGGAAAATGTAGAAGTAAATATAATATGTGTGACACTTCTCATGTGTCTCTTTTTTAGTACTTTAAGCAGGATAGTTAATTTTCACAGCTAAAATATTTTCTTTCTAGAATGTAGTAAGTTTTCTGTAATTTATTTACTGTGTATAACAGTTTAGGTACTCATGTTTAACTTGTTAAAGAAAAGCAGCATAGCAAACATCTCATCAGCTAGTGTTTTTTTAAAACAAATTACAGGTTAATGAAATTTATGGTTCAAGCAAAATAATGTTTTTTTTTCTTACTCTATTTTGAGTAGTTGTTGAGGATAAACTGGAACCTACCTAATAGGGCTGTTCAGTGCTTTGGATGCAGTTGCTACATGATCCTAGAAAAAGATGCGGTTGGTTCAGTGAGATGCAGATAGTAGCTATGTTCATAGCCTTGTACTTTCTAAAGCACTTTTTCTACAGTTCTTTAAAAAAAAATGAAAATGGGAGCAGAAGGGGAGATGAAACACCATAACTGTGAGGGATACACAGAGTATGACATAGGGCATATGTAACATCTGTAAAAATTACTTTGAAGCAAAGATCTGCTGGGTTAACAGTAATTCTGTTGGACGGAGGGATTAGATTCAGATATAGCCTGTTCCAGGAGGAAACATGGTATATTACCTGTTAAAAAGTCAAGAACAATTAATGATCCTCACAGACTACTAACTTTAAATTCCTCTAAATTGGGATTAGACCAGCTCATGAAGGACAAGGCATGAATGACTAGTCATAATGATGGTTACTTATTTTCTCATGGTTACTTATTTTCAGTATGAATGTCTCATACCCATTACTGGGGAATTTCGGTGGGAGGGGGCTTTTGTACTCACGTCCTGCTTTCCAGAGGGATTTCATTGAGTCAGTTGAGGGACAGACTACTATACTACATCAGTGTTACAGAACATAGCTACGCCTACATACTTAAGCATACATGGTTAAGATGTTACTGTGTTGTCATATCTTATCCTACAACGTACTAATCAAAGCATTCACCTTTATATGCATAGAAAGCAATCATTAACATAAAATAAGAGTGTGCACTATCCAGAGTGTGACATTACAGTAGCAAGTGTGCAAGTTAGCTGGACAACTGTTCAGATCTGATACTTGAATGATGATGATGTGTGACTTGAAGTATCAGAGAATACAAACTGGCAAATGTTGCTATCTTAATAGTTTTTATTTTGGGAAGAAGAATGATAATACAATATTTCCTGTTAGCTTAGCTAATCAGCGTTTGTGTCTCAAAAAGCCCTTGTCTTTTTAATGGACAGAAGTACATTCCGTCATAGTGTTGGTGCAGGGGAGAAAATCAATTACAGAGCTTAAATTTTAAATAGTTTTTCCCTTTGCCGATGATGAAATAGCTAAATATCTGTCTGTAACACATTTATTTAAAATGAAGGGTAGGATATCTATGTTAATTTTTCATATCTTTTTTATAATGAGTGTCTCAGATGCTTAGGTACTTAGGATAATGTGGGTTGTCAAATGTTGTCTTCCTTATTCTTGAAATAAGTTTTCTTTATTTCAGAGCGCGTATATGTGTGTGCACGTGTCTGTGAAGGGGGCCGAGGGATTGTTGCTTGACACCAGAAAATTAAAGTAGCTTCATTTTTAGTTGCTTAGGCTTTATTAAATAGATAGCAAAGAATAGCATGGTTTTAAAAGATAAGTGTCAGGAGCACAAAGTAGACATTCAGACTTTTGGATTAATGGGATAGAAGTTCAATAATTGTAAGCTTGAAAAGAAACGGCATTTCAGTAAGCTTGAAAAGAAACAGCATTCCTGTAGGGCTGCTGTGATTATTAAAACGTTTTGAGTTCCCTGTAAACATGTTGTCCTTAGATTCTGTGTTCATAGCCGCAACAAAAGATGACACTTGCAAAGGTGGCAGTTTGTGCAGATTATAGAATAGATACTTTCATCTGTTACACATTTCTTTCAAAAGTAAATGGACTAGTGAAGAAATGCTGCAAGAAGAGTTCTGCCTCATTTCTCCCTCATTCCCCCCCTTTTTTTTTTTTTTACCATGCAGGGCCCTCCAGATTTTCAACAAAACCCTCCTGGACCTGTTCCTACCAACTTCAACCAAGCCCCACGACTTTCCCTCCAAGATCAGTGGCGAGGGCCACCACCTCCTCTTCCACCACCACCTCCACAGGAGAGAGAACCTTTCTTCATGGGAGGTATTGCTTACGAGTGGGAAGGGACATTTTCCTCAGTTCTCAGGGAGGGATTTGGCATTAACTACAAAGCCAGGATTTTCCCCGTCTTATCATTTGGCCAATCCAAAAATTGTCCCATCTTCCTCTGTTTGGAGTGCAGCGTTTAGCCATTACATCCATACTCTTGAAGCAGCCTGGTGATTAGTCCAGCGCCCTTTCCTATACATTGTTTACCTTGTTCATGCATCCTTACCACAGAAATATTCCAGAAAGCGATGCACAGACCACAGGATGATTGGTCTATACAATTGGTGACTTCTAGTTGGAGTAGAGAGTACTGGGCTAATTGAAGAAATTGCTGGACATAATCATGGCAACTCTCTGTGTGACTTTTATTTCCAGTGGAGTTAAGCCAAAACTGGTATTTTGCTTGGCAGATGGGTTGGTTTCATGCCATCTCCTTTTTATTTTTCTGACAGAGCCAAGATTCCCTGGTCACCACTTATTTGAGCAACGGAGCCCCCCTCCGCCACCGCCCCCCCTTCTTAACAGTGCGCATCCTGTGCCCAGTCAGAACCCGCTCCCATTCAGCCAGCCTGGACCAGGTTTCAGTCAGCAGGGGCAGCAAGCCATGTTTCCAAGAGAAAGGCTGGTAAGGCCGAATCTGCAGCCTCAAGGCCCCGTGGGAATTCTTCACTTCAGCCAGCCTGGAGCAGCCAATGCACGGCCGTTTCTTCCTCCGAGGCAGTCCTTCCTGCAGGTCCCAGGGCAGCCGTTCTTAACCCCTCTCACCCAAGCAGGCATGCAGGTATGTAACAATAAGGGCAGCCCTTCTCATCTCTCTTGAGTGCTCTTATGACCATTTTAGCCTGAACTCTCAAAGTCTATGTCGGTCCTCTTGTGCAGGTGAATGGAATTGTTCCTCCCTATTGTTCCTTTCTTGCCTTTTTGCAGGAATATGATTTTAGGGAATAATACAGATCTGCTCTCTGCAGTCACTTAAAAAAAAGATGGTGACTCTACTGTGCCTTTTTTGGCTTTATTTTCAAACCCTCTTATATGTAAAGCAGTCATTTCTTTGATATTTCAGGCTAAGAGTAAAGTGAGTTGTGGATAAGCCTAGCATCCTTATGCTGTCAGAGGGATTCTGGGAGTTGTAGTCCCAACCTATCTGGAATATGCCACTTTGGGGGGGCTGTTATAGGTTACTACATTTAGTCTTAGCTCAGACCATACATTGCTTAAGCAGAATGCTGAGAGAAGCTGCCTTGTAAACAGAGCTTGAATGCTTAATGTTTGAAGCACTTTAAATGAGCCTTTTTATTGCTGTGCCAAGCATGATAACATTACTCTTCCCACCACCACCACCACTGGTGGCCAGCACTAATTGAATTATAAGGGCTAGCTGCAACTATATCATGGGAATGCTTCAAAGTGAAGACATTAAAAAGCTTTGATTTTTGTGAAGCTGTTCACAGAGCTAATGGGATTAGAAAAGTTTGTAATATGACATTCTGTTACATATTCCATGGTTTCCTAAATTGATTTACTGCAGGAGAGATATGGAAGTCTATTTTCTGAAAACAAGTTCCTGTACAGTGAGTAGGTTAAGCATGCCTCTAAAAACATCAGGCCTGGAACACTACAAAGCCTAGAGCTCCCTCTGCCGGTGCTTTGCCTTTTGGGACGGCTCGAGTAACAAACACCAGCTTCTTGTAGTTTGTTTGCTGAAACATTTTTTAGAAAGATTCTGTATTTTATGAACAGTAGAAAGCGTTCAAGTTCCAGCTGTGACCTTTACCTTCACCCAAAAAAGGAAGAGCTCCAGTATAATGCCTTCATGCAGGACAGCCCTTAGATCAGTGTTGTCCAAACTTGGCCACTTTAAGATGCATGGCCTTCACCTTCCAATGCGGGCTGGGAAGTTCTGGGGGTGGAGGTCCATGCATCTTAAAGTGGCCAAGTTTGGACAACACTGCCTTAGATTAATCTGAATTCATCAGATTAGAACTGGGTGGTACTTTAATCGGGCTGTGCAGCTCTTTGGATATGAAGATTGAAAGTTGGTCAGAGCACACACAGGTTCAAACTTTAAAGTACGTAATCATATCTTT